CGCTCCCTGGAGAGAAGATGAAATAACACACATTATATGACACACATGACGTCATAAAATATCCTATCAAAAATATTTGATAAGAAAATGGTAAGTCTTCAACAACTCACTGTATTTGCATTCTCAATTGCTTTTACCTAGGAAAGTACTTCTCACACAAAGAGGTGGAGACCTCTGTGGTTTTTTCCTTTAAATGAACTGATCTCTAAAAATAGAGGTAAATAAATGCTATACAGTGCAATTCACATTAGCACCTCATACCTGGGTGAAGGGGGGTGTAAGGGGGAAAAACTCCTAACTTATAACACTGAATAGCTAATAACCAGTTAGAAAATAATATCATTTTCTGACAGCAAAAATTCACTTAACCCTGTAAGTAATGTCTAGAGCCAAAACAATCCCTGTGAATTACACTCAAGATTTGGGGAAATTATTTGATAAGACAAGCTTTGTCCAGAAAATATGGCATTTACTTTATTACTTCATTGCCCTCTGTTATCTACTTATTTTCTGTATGACACTAATATAAACCAGGTATCTCAAATTTCACGTAAGGTATAGTTCTCCATGGAAATACTTTCTAGTAATCAGGACTATGATGTTAACATCAGAAAAGCATAATTGTCCGAACACAAGTAATGGAAACAACACAGTGTATGGCCAATATGGAAATATGAACGCTCTCTTATAATTTCTCCTATTTTTTTCATGGCAGGCTTGAGAATCAGAAGGGATGCAATAGTAAGTATGAGGTGGGGAACTTATCTGGCTCACCTGGATTAATTTCAGTCACACACTCCGGTAGTTATCTTTGTCCTTCCAGCAACATCAGCCTTCTCTGTCCTCACCACCAACTATAGCCTTTACACATGAAATATATCCTGCCAAACTCCAAATCCAAAACACTCTGACCCATTAAAGGTTTCCCCTTTTCTTCTATTAAGAACAAAGAACACATTACATTTTTCTATGTGAAGTATGCGATTAAATAATAGCTTGTACACTAATTAAAGCAAATGTAATTGTGAGAACACACTGACATTGTTAAAGTAAATTACCCAATTTGTTAATAGTTTCATTTCAAGTGACCTTAATTGTATTAATTGTGATATTGAGCAAATTAAATTGAAGAGTATTAAATGCATTGTTCCAGTCTGTCCTTAGAGGATCAACTTTCTCATTATATCAATGAAATGGGAATACTACCTACTACGTTCTTCAAAACTTGTGTCGGAATGTGGTGGACACCGTAACTTGGAGTAAAAATTTACAGCAGAAAGTTAACCTAGTTATTTCATTTCAATGTAACAGAAACCTCGAGCATTTGGAAGTCAGTTTGTCAGATGCAATATGCAGGGAGAAGGTACAACAATAATGTTTTTGAAATTTCATTCAGGTCTCACAAAGTCTCTGCTGGAGATAGAGCAATTTCTCTTTGAAAGATCCCTGCTTCAGAGGGGATCGCACAAAAACATTGTTAGAATAAAGTGAATAAAAGCATGATGATTCTTAGAAGAGAGAATGCAGCAAGATGTCATCAACCTACCATGGTCAAAAGAAAACATAATAATGCACAGATACCTAGATGTGTGTAAATTAAAATACAACCAGACCCACAAGAAACAATCAAAAATTAAAATTTCTTAAAAGAACTAAAATCCTCCATTTGAAGCATTAGATTGCAAAACTGAGAATCCCTGCCATAAATTTATAATCAACTATTTAAAAATGCTATTTGAAAAAGCATATATGAGTACTTATATGGTATGTACTTTTTTTTATCTTGAAAGAAAAATCAGACACAAGGAAAATAACACAGGTCAAATAAATAAACTGTAAAGGACAAAAATACCATCTTAACATATTTTTTGAAATGTTTTAAAGGGATAGAAAAAATATCTTTACAGTTAAAGGCTTATTCTGAATGTTTCAAACTTGCAAACAAGCACAATCTCATGGCTCATCATAACTCAAGATTCAAAGTTTATCAGTTACATAAAATCTGGAGAGCTACCAACACCCAGACCTTTCTCCAAATGACACTTACCTCATCTGTAATGATCTACTTTCATTTGTTCAGCTAGGTAACTGTCTCATGCCTAGCATCTGCAACATTAATCCTTGCAGCTGTTCTTAGTGAACCATGTCTTACTCTTCTTAGGCCACTTCTCCAAAATCTCAAGAATGCTTTGAATTTTATGTCTACTCTCTATTGTGTCAACAGTCCTGTCCCAAATAAACCATGTTTTCTCTCTATTCCTTCACTGAAATTTTAATAAAAGCGCTGAATGCTACTAGACAACATATTTCTGGAATCCTATCCAATATACCCTTTCAAGCTGACAGCAAATGAACAAAAAGCAGTCGACGCATGCAGTTTTCCAAACAGCTATACTTAAGAGCAATCCGTATTTTTGAGATTTCTTTAATTTTATGAAAACTGTGAGAGAATTTCGTAACTCCAGCTGGACATGACATCTTCTGGTTCTCCATCAAATTTTGGTATCAACTGCACATGCTAAAAATACAACACTTCATGGAGATTTACAAATCTGAGTAGATCAGCAACTAAATATTTCTTTTCAGTACCCTTATCAGTGCTGTCTTTTCTTCCAATCACCTAATCTCAGTAAAGGTTTTTATCACTTTGCCTCCAAGGTAAGCATTCAGCCATGTTTCAAAAACACAATTCAGATGTCCTGATATTCTACAATATTGCACAGAACATCTCCAGTGGACCACCACTCGACTGTATTTCTGTGATTCACGATACAAAAAAAATTAAGATAGAGATTTTCACCAAGTTGATTCTGTATCACCCCTGAAACTTGAGGCTGCATTGAAAAGCCTTGTCTTGAAATACTTCTGTAAAGACAATGATGGATAGACTGCACGGACAGGAATGACTGTATACTTTGTTGCCTGAAGAGCAAACACATGCTTTATTTAAAAAGAAACTTCAAAGACCTATTCTGGATATATAAAGTTTCAAATTAAAATGCACTATGTGTTTCACAGCAAAAAAGGCTATGAAGATGAAATGGATGCTTTATATAAAATATTTACATAGATAGAACATAAAAAATGTACCATAGTTGGTAACCTTTATGACTTGGGGAACCATGTATTTACATATCTTTATCCTCGCATGTGCGTATGTGTGTGTTGTGTATATATTTTTAACAGTTGACAGCTGTTTTAGAGCATACAGAGATGCCAAGCTGAATGAGGGTCTTGATTACTTCAAGATTAGCTATCTAAAGTTTCTATTCATTTTAAGTGTTGTTAGTGCGAAGAGTCATTAGTCACTTCCTTGTCTCATAGAACATCAGCATACATTTACATTGTTAATGAACATTTGGGGTAAATGAATTAATGGCACTTTTAAACATCAATTCAATCCTAATAACTTTGTATGTCATAGAAATGTTAAGGTTGGGATAAAAATGAGAAACCTTTTCAGTCAAGGTAACTAATCGCTTCTGGGCACAATAAAGGGTAAAATTAACTTACACTGTTTTTTTAACAGGGTGAAAATCTTGCTTTTTCTTGAAACAGAATTGAAGGAATTATCACTTTTTTTTAAAGCAAATAGAAGTCAGAAGAAAATGTTTCTCTTTTTCTTGACTGGGGTAGACTAGAAGGAAGCTGTTTTTCCTCTTGAAAATGGTTATTATTTTAGGTTATAGAAAAAAAATTATTTCCAAGTTCTAAAATATGTACAAAAATGCATTTGGTTTATAAGGCTAAAATGGCTTCATATCGTTAAGATGTCAAATGTAATAGAAAAGAAAAACTGACCTGGAAAAGCTATTCAATTTAATCATCAGGTTTTAAAATACTTTTGCCATGATGTACATTGTCATTTTCAAACATTGAAGAAGCTTTGTAAACCAATGAAGAAACAGTGAAAAAATTAACTCAAAGGGACAAAAAAGTTTTACCAATATATTTTGAAACAAAACATCAGCTTCTTCTAAACAGAAGTAATAAACCTGACTGAGCAGAACTTGACATAGCTTTTTAATAACTACTGGTAAAGAGAGGATTTATAAACAGATACACCCACATAGAGTAGTTGATCTGGGTGAGGGACTTGGAAAATGTGACAAAGTTGTTTCAACTCTGTAATTTAAAATAAATTTTTTATTTTGCCCTCCTGGTACATGTGTTCAATGACTGGAAAATTACAGGTAGTTAAGGTGCCACTGTGTGTAACTGAGTATTTGAGGAATGTTTTCATGACAAGGACGAGCTTTCTCATTAAGCTTATCACTTTCTTCAAACCAACTACACTGTTACTACTATCAAATAAGTAGAAAAGATGAGCAAAACAGACAAGCATTGCATAATCCAAGCAGTTTGTTCTCACTGTTCATTAGGGTCTTCCAAATACTGCATTTAAGTAATTTGCTTCAGGTTTTGTAGTAATTTCTATCTTTAGAGCCTATTCATTCTATTTCAGCTTCCAGATATTTTTCCAAATAATAACATAGGGGATGAGTCAATGAGTCAAACAAAAATCAGACTTTTTATTTGCATCATTTAATCCAAAATAACACACTGAACTTTACTGCGGAACCAAAAAAAAAAAAAAAAAAAAAAAAAAAAAAAAAGAAAGAAAAAAAGAAAATAAAAGTAATAAAAAAGGAAAACAAACAAGATTATTAAACCAAAGCAGTGTAAGAGTCCATGCTTGAGAAAGTAACATAAAGTCATGCTCCGTTTCAATATTCTTTTGCTGAAGTCAGTGTTTGGTTTATGATTAAAAAAGGATGACAGTGCATTAAACATTTGGTTAATGCTTCTGTCTGTAATTGAAAGTTGACTTTCTGTGGTTTTCATTAGTGTCAGAGTGTTCCTCACATACGCTGAAATGTTCTTTAAGTTGTCCTGTTCAACTTCATTGATTGAATTAAACAAATTATGACACATGCAGTTATTATGACACACTTATATTAGGTATAAACTCAAAACAAAGTACAGAAATACTAACTCACCTTCTCCTGGCTTGTTCAAAAAACTCTGCAAGGGATCAATGCCTATCTCTTGTTCCTCTGTTTGCAAAGGGTGACTGGTTTCAGAGACAGAATGATACATACTGGCAGTAGTAAATTCTAACTGATGAGTATTTATCTGGAGGAAAAAAAAAATCAGAGAAACAAACACTTCAGTATTCCTTCAACTATTTTTCAACCACGTGAGTCAAGAACAAAATTACTTAAAACCTCCCCTTATTTTCCAGGCACATCATCACCATTAGTTGTCTAATTAGCAGAACAATACTGTTTCCATTTGAACGTTGTAAATGTCGTATTATTTAGAGTCCAAACAAATTTTTATAGTTCCTACAAATATCATACTGCAAGTAAAAGTCCAAGCCTGGTTTTGACAGACTGTAAAACAGGGCAAGAGTCTCTGTCCTTCCTCCTATTTTCCTTACTCATCTTTTAGTCTGATTCCAAGGAGAACTGATGCTAGTTCTTGGGCATGATGAAGATTATAGAGCAAAACTGAGGAAAGACCATCATCATCACTCTTCTGGACCCAACACTTTTCATCCCAGGAAATCTTCCTTTTTTTAACCACTTCTTTTTCAGAAATCATAGGTCCAGTATAATGGAACAGCAACACACACACAAAAAGAGAATGGATTAATACTGACTGGGATGATAGGTCAATTTGGTCTTATTAAGATTTATATTAATTTTTGTCTTGGTTCTTGCGCTAATTTGGTTTTGCAGTAGCCAAGAGGTGAAATGGCCACGGCCCAGAGGTTTTTCTATACCATGTCATGCCCCTAGCAGGCCAGGGAGAAGGGAGTTTTTTCTGGTCAAAGGGAGTGTTTGGGTAACGCCCGCTCTAATCTGGAGGGAGTGGTTGTTTATTATCTGTTGTTGGGGTTTCTGCAGTGAGCAAGAACGTTTCTTTTCTTGTCTTGTCATTAGTTTCTTTCTTTTCTTGTCATTAACATCATTGCTGTTACTGTTCATTTTTCTAACCTTATTGCTGTTCCAATAAATTATTCTTATCTCAACCTTTACCTTTTGTGCCTCCAGTTCTCCTCTCCATCCCACTACAGGGAGGAGGGAGGGGAAGGGGGGAGTCAGCAAGCGAGCTGTGTGTGCCATACAATGGTTTCAGTGAAAACTTAACTGGAGAATACCATTCCTAAACCAGCACAGCTTTCTAGCAAGATGCTGTTAAGGAAGCATTTTAAGAAAAATAATCAACTAGCTGGTGAACATTTACAAAGACATCTTCCAAAAATGAAGACCAAAAGGGAAGTAATGGCAGAACTGAAACTTTAGGAAATAGGTGTTGCAGATTCATTATCACAGGCTCCTAAATGAGACTCACATCACTATCAAGCAACTCAACAAGAACTGTTAGAAGTTCATTTGGGGAGTGCTAGAAGCTAATACTGGCTGCAACAAATTAGAGGATGCCAATAAAAGGGTGAAAAGCAGATGATGTTATGATCTGTGCATAAGAAAGAGAAACGACCTTTCCAGTGCATTAACAGTGCAAGAGTACATTTATCAAGACTGCATTTTAGTCACTGTACAGCAATTTATTAACTCACAACACAAAAAAACCCTAAGCCAGCTAAATAGGTCTGATTTGCCCAAGCCCGCTAAGTAGCTACCTACGACTGCCAGATGAATTTTAAATATCACTTACTTTAACTGCTCTGTTTACAAGTATCATAACTTTCTAACAGCAAGAAAATTATATTTAGAAAGAAATATAAAAAGAGATACAGTAAAAGGTATGCATCTACACTTTCAGGACTGGCATATTAACGAATTTGAAATCACTTCAATTATGCTTTTCCTTTGGTTCCTAGAAGGTATGGCATTGACCATGTAGACTTTATGTCTTCAGTTTACTGTCAATAAATGAAGGGGATCTGGGATTTTTAAGACCTTTTTATAGTCTACACCTTCTTAATTTTCCTAGTAAGTTATGAGGAAAAGAAAACAAAACCTAGAAACCCCTTAAATAATAAACAAACCTAGATGGGCCACTATTAGGCAATTCCCTGAAACCAGTGCACCCAGGCTGTTTTCAAAAGTATGCTATCTCAGCTGTATTCCCTGAGGGGTTTACCTTTATTTGCCCTGGCACCTGTGTTACTGTGGTGATGAAATTATCATACCATCTCTCACTTCTGTTTAGCTAGAAGAGAACATCTGAAGGTCTTAGGAACAAGGAGTCAGTAACTGAGGGAAGGTAGGACTTACACTTGAGCAGTGGTACACCTTTATGTCAAATTATTACAATCATAAAGTCATAACAAAACACACCCCTAAACCACAGAATTGCCTTGAACAACTCTATAGGAGGCTCAACAAAATGTGCTATGAATGTATGCATACCTCACGTGTTTCCTATGTAATTTTAAAAATGTAACAATGAAAACTGCATGAATGGAATCTTGAAGAAAAATATTTACAAACTTGTTAGCCCCTTAAATAGCATTTATCTGTAGTATTATGGCTGCAAAAATATAAAGAGATGTTTATAAATACCTGATATTTAAATAAATAGGAAATAATTTATTTAAAGAAAGAAAACAAAACCCCCACCAACTTTGCAGAAGTAATTTTTTCCTGCTGGACTTTTATTTGCTGCTCTTGTTCCTTTTGCTATACAGCTGTAAATATCTTTCCACTGATCAGTTGATTTTGTCTTCACTAAAATTATAAGCTTTTCAAACTGTGCTGCTTAAGTTTAACTTTTTATTTTTATGTTTCTTTAGAGATTGCTACACAATCTGACCAAGGCAGAACCCTGAGTGTCTTTCAAACTGAGAACCAGGAACAAAATGACCTTACCAACCATTTTAGTTTAAGCAGACAACACTTAATTAAGACACAGTATGTTTCAGACTTACACTGTCTTACATCCATAACATGTTATCAATTTAGCCCTAGTAAGTTTGCTCTTCTATGTCCTTTTCTTCTGTATCCACCTTCCTTTCTTTTTTAAGTACTCCCCAAATGCCATACCTTTACAATCTATATGCACCATAATTTACTTTACAGACTGTTAGAGCCGCTTTAAACAGCTGAATAGATTTACTTTTGATATCTGCACAGTGTTTTAATCAGTTATTTGTGTTTGTTTATGGATACATATGGTTAGAGTTAAAAAGTATCACTACCTATTAGTCTTCATTCCTTAGTCCAAGCAATTTTCTTTGCAGTTTTATACTGAAGTTCTTTTCTGCTCTTCTAACAAAGAGCAAAGGGAACTATTAAACAATTACAGTTACACTTGGGATCTTACTCTGAGACAGATTAATTCTTCACAGGTTTGTGGTTGATTTGTAATGGCCTATAACATATTGTTCATATTAAATAAGATACAATTTAAAACCATTCTCAGTGTGAAACAATAAAAATGTTATAAACCACTGAAATTCAATTACTGGATTACAAGACTTGATTCTGGCTAACCCTAACATCTCAGTGAAAGCACCTATTTGTACTTTTTTTTAACCTCCAAAGCTGAAGGGCTAAGGAACTCAAATACCAGCCACACTTCTCACTACTGGGAGTTCAACTATTCTGTAATATACATGAGAAAATAATTAAGACCATGTATGAAACATTTATCTAGTCATTGAAATTAGCAGAAACATGAATCCACTCATGAGCCCAAGGAAAAGGCAGTCATAGAGACTCTTTGGCTACTGACTAAAAGGAACAGGAGGAGCCCTCATGTGCCACCAAGGACAGTGCCACAGGTTTGCTCCTCATTGAGCAACACACGTGGGGTGAATCCAGTCTGCCTTTCAGTGAAGAAAGCTTGTCAGAACATCTGTTCTCAACAGAGACCAAAAATCCCCCAAGAGACAGGCTCACGGACTCCAACACAGAACTCCACTAGATATTAAAAGGGTTCTCTGGAGGTACCTGCTTATAGCACATCATCTCCTCTCCCACGTCCTCCTCTGTATTCCATAGGTGATAGAATACCAACTTGTTTTCATTAGGAAAAATCTAACTGATGTTTACTGACATCTACCTAACAACCTCCTTCTACACAGCAGAGATAAACTACTTGCTGCATTAGACAGTCTGATTTAACATACCTGTTCTAACTCAGAGAACTTTCTTCTTTCTCACTGGGTATTTACTCTTAGTGAGTACTTAGTACTTATTTGGAAGTTGCTTGTTTCTTTGTTAGATGTGAGAAGGTTTATTCACCTAAGAGTTTACAAATATTTTGCCTTTCCTATTAGCTACTCTAAGACAATATGTGATTTCTACCACTTTTAGCCATAAAGCAGTCTTATATAATCATGCCTTCATTAGCATTGCCATTCTGCCTGTATACAAACCTGTGAGTTTGGAATGCTTAAACAAAATTACATTTAAAACATTCAAAACCAAAACCCACTTCTTCTCCAGACTGTCCATGGCAACAGCCTCAATTCAGCCACACTTCATCTTCTACTAATATGTGTAAGACATCTCTAGCTAGACAGAAATACAAGGCAAAGATGAAAGTCTAATTGAGATCTGTTTCTATCATTAGCTGTACTGCCAGTGAAGTACCCATCACTTTTAGACCAGAGCTGGGTGAAACATTGCAAAAACATGTACACAGAACTGTACAAGGCAGTAGACTAATCTGTAATAAGATTATAAGAAATGTTCGTATAATAATATTATTATTATTGATGTTAGAAGATGGAAAATTCAAAATAAAAACAAAATCTGTTGCATTCGTTTAGCAGCGAGACTATTCACTACTACCAGCACAAGTGGTAAGATTACCCTTATCTCAAAAATGTTGATAAATCAGTATTTCATAAACAAAACATAGCACAGTTGAACATGAATACTGTGCTTTATTTCATGTCATAAGACATTCACTAATGCCTTCACTTGCCACAGATACTGAATAAAAGTATTCAGTATTCAAATAAGCAGTTTATGGATGAAAAGCATTGTTTTAGAAATGGTGACTAAATTAGTTCCATCTAAAAAACCTAAACCCACCTAAAATGCTTCCCTTAATCATCACTGTTTTACAGACCTTGAAAACTTACTTACTCAAAGCACAAAACACACCAAGACATCAAAATGAATGATTAAGAAGTGAAGTGTATTCATACTGCT